CCTCTAATACCAAGGAATATAGCTGATTTGTCGAATTGATGCCCTGATCTTGTAGTTGCATCCGCTTCAGAAATTAAACTGTATTAACACCTGCAGTAAGTTTCTCACCTACCTACTTGAGAACGAGCTGAATTCTGATTGGGGATACTTTGAAGGTGAATGTTTCAGTCATTTCATTTCGGTGAATGATTAAATAATAGGGATAACTGGAAATATTTGATTTGATACTTTAATGTATTAATATTCGAATAATTAGTGTCACATTTTTTTAAAAAAAATTAGAACACAATTATTTTGGATTTTAATAACATTGTCTTGAGGTAAAGCAAATCCCCATATAAAAGTCAGATGCCTTTGTTGGTGAGTTTATCGTAGGCTTGACAGTTTTGATAGAACCGGGTAGACTATTCACATTTTTAATTGTTTGCCTTTCGATCGTATGAGGGTTGAGTTCAAATTTGGGTTCATCAGCCATTAATTTAAGTTTTTTCCTCGCGCTGTTTTTCTAACACCATATCAATTCACCTTCAATTTTTGGGATAGGCAACACGAGCTCCCACGCGGTCGAATAGTGGTGTCATCGTGAAATGGCGCGCTCATTCGCGAAACGCACAAATAAGAGCTTTTTACCAAATGGGAAGAGGTTACTTTACCGTCATATCAGTTTGCCTTCAATTTCTAGGGTAGGCAACACAAGCTCTCTCGTAGTCGAATAGTGGTATCATCCCCTTTATAATAATCAATCAATCAATCAGGCATAATATAGACCCTCCGCTAGTTGTCACTTTTTCGTTTTATATTTACAGGCAATTTTATCCGAGTGAAATCTATTTTTTTCTAATTCACGTGAGCTTTCTGTACTAATCAATGTGAATTCAGTTTGCCATCAATTCCAAAAATAAATTTCTTTGAAGTAAAAAAAACCTCATTAGAATAAAAAAAAAGATTCTCCCACTCAAACAAATTTTTCTTTAAATAAATAAAAAAAATATTTTCTTTACCTCAAATAATTTTTTTACAAATCGAAGAAATTTATGTTTTAATTCAAAGTAGAAGTTTTTAATTATTTTTTTCAGTGTAGATTTTTTGAAAACTGATGAGGCAGCTGCGTACTGAGCTACGCGAGACACTTTCGACCAAAAGGCAATCATTGAGTGAAATTGATTTAGATATTCAAAATGTGACTCTGAAATTACTGTCGGAAATTTTGCTGATTTTTCCGCGTTATTAGAGAAAAATCCGTGAAAATTTCAACAAGAAATTCCTAATAGTTTTTAATGGTATGTTTTTGAGTTTGATAATGTTTGTGAGTGGGCATTTTACAACGTTGAAACGGATGTACGTTTGTCTAGGAAACAGTGATTTAAGTTCCAAGGCTAAAAATGAAAATTGAAAAATTTTCCTGTCAATTTTTAATTTTTTTCCTGTCTTAATCAAAAGATTTTCCAATTTTTGGGATTAGTAGTTTTCTCAAAATCACTATTCTAATCCTAAACTTTATCTTATATGTTGTTTCAGGAATCTAGCCATTGGTATCGGCATTCAAAACTTTCCCGAGGGACTAGCAGTGAGTCTTCCCTTGCATGCCGCCGGCGTGTCAACATGGAAAAGTTTTTGGTGAGTACAACATTACAACATATGCTCAGCTTCAGGCTCGAAAACCTCAAACATAAGACTGGGGGTAAACTAGGGGAAAATACATTGTTAGTTTTGTAAATTTTAAGGTAGATTCCCATCTAATTTTTAGACTAGGAAACAAAATCATAAGGTGTAATTCATGGAATTTTTTCTTCTGTATCTCGTACTTTTTGCGGTGGAAAATCATTGTAATCCCTTGTTAGGATCCATTTCCAAAGTCATACAACAGAATTTAAGTCGAGGTTGGCAAAAATTGTCCTTGTGATACCATTTTGATGGCCTCCCTAAGCCACCCTCACCGTGGCGAAGCGTGAATGATCGATTATCGATATCTTTCCATTTCCGGACATGATAAAGAATCGATTATTAAGGTGTTCTTTGCGAACACCCTGTTAATCGATCCTTTTTTGCAGGTTTAAATGACCGATCAACCTACATTACAAAGCACGACACGCCACTGCTTCCTCAACATATCTTGGAATTTTTTTGATGATGTAGGTCGGCACAGCGACTTTTATCATCGATTTTCTTGGAAATGGTGTAATTTATGGGAAAAGGTCATTCTGTAAAAAGTGCTTGAAAATATATCATGAATTGATTTAAGCAAAATAATGGGACATTGAATCCGTTTTGCATACTTTGAATTCCGGATTTCGCTGGCCAGGTTGTACCGACCTACGTCACAGTGTAAACAAACCTCAAGATGCAAACACCTCCTTTGTTTTCTCTATGCTCCCTCAATGTCAATGTAGACCTAATGGGGCCTCCTGAGGAAAGGCACCGCCTGATGACGTCATAGCCCGCGTGACGTAGAATCGGCTCATCCCGAAATGATCCCCTAAGAAATTCATAGCTTTTAAACTTGGATGCATGAGGATCTGAAACTCGTGCATGGAAACCGACCTGTATGAATGAGTGTTGGGTGGACACAGACTCAGAGGAGGAAATGACTTTTCTGAAAATAGTTTTCAAGAATAAAGGTGGAAGATGAGTAATACTGCCCACTGCGCAGTCGGATGAGTCACAAAGAGTGACGTCGACCGCGCCCTGAATCATGATGATGTTGATGAGCCTTCTCACGCTGAGTATGTGTTAGTGTTACCCACGGAAATAATCCGACTCAGGAAGAATATACATCCACCCAATTCAATTGCTCCATTAAATCCGTCATACCCAATGAAAACTTTCCCCGTTCTTTTCCTAAAAGAGATGTAAGTGGACTTATGACGTCATGACGCCTATATTTTGCTAAGGCTGCCTGCTGCACTCAACTTGGAACGTATCGATGGGAAACTATCGATTCCAATAGTTCTGTTTGAAAATTCTGCTCGGCTTTCTCGCGCGAAATTTTCAGGCAATGTTGATGGAAGTACGAAAAAATATTAAACGAAATTTTGTGAGGAGAGAAGCGCATTTTGTGTGTCAGTAATACATAATTCATATGAAAGTCTTGCCTTACTCGCCTGTTGATTTTTTTTTATATAATTATTGTCGAGTGTATGTGCCATACGAGCTCATCCTCCACACTTATATCACAAAAACTTACAAAATTTTGTGCAGAAACAACGATAATGCCATTTAGAAAAGAAAAATGTAAAATAGAATTCGCTGTGTCGCGAACCGAGGTACCTACGATGTTTGGCACTGTCACTATTGATGTGCTCCTTTGGACTGCAATTTTTTTTTTTTTTTTTTTTTTTTTTTTTTCGTTGATTCTAAACATCCAGGACATTCGTGTATTTTCATGCAGTCAAAATTTTCCCGTAAGATGTATTACGAGTCAATCGCAAAACATGACCATCATACAAAAAAGATGATGGAGGGGAAATAGCGAATCTGATGTAAAGGTATGGTAAAGATCGCGAACGTTGCGTTCGCACACGTACGTAGGTAGATAGGTCGGAGTAGAAATTTTTCCAGCCATAAATTGCCTCAAAACAAACCAAAAGACGTCATAGTCTTTTATTTCCTAATCCCATCGTGCACTGATTAATTATGAGACATTTTTCGCACGACATTGCATGGAATCCCCCTAGGCATGGAACTGTTATTTAATGGACGGAGATTGAAGCCTGTCTGCTCTGCCGTTCTAAGGAAAAACGTCGTATGAACATTCGGGAGTTGCAAAATTTCCCTCTCTTTTATGTTCATTTTGAGGAAATTCATGAATATTTTTCCCTGCAATTTTCAAGAACTTTGGCTGAAATCGCGAAAAAAGTTATCTGACAAATTGGAAGAAAAATATTCACAAGTTTCCCGGGGAAGTCGTGTTTCATCGAAGGAAATTTGGCATCGCCTGAACGTTCATACAGCGTTTTTCCTTAGCACGGCAGAGTTGAGGTCTAATCTTGTCATCAGTTTTGGGTTTCGGGAGTAAGAAACGAAATGGGTACTCTGCGTGTAAACACATTATCAAGCACGGAGTTTATAGCCATGTCGCATATGAAATCCCAACCCACCAGAACTCATCCGCAGAGGAGACAATTGCTGTCTGGTGGCAATTTGGCGTCGACGATGCGGAGAATGTTAACGTGTAGTGCGTGAATTCCATCTTGGCGACCTTCATAATTTCATGTATTGATTCAATGATGCAGGATGACTCGAGAGGAATCTCACTATGGGCTATTGTGAGCCGGAAGTTTAGAGAATGCTGTCTTCGCACATTCTTTTAGTTCTATTTTTTTACATTCCTCGAGCATTTCACCAATGGCTCTTTCCACCGGAGTCCAGATGAAAGCTTGAGAGGCCAAAAGAGAGTAACAACATCGTTGGCTGAGTCCATTCGGAGGCTTCCAGAAGTCGTGCCTCATCGTGAGACCCTTGGCCTTTGGTGTTGACATGAAAAACTCGGCAAAAGACAGAATCCTCCTCAAGATCAATTGCACTGATTACCTGTTTTCGTTCATCGTCATGCCAACACTGCACCGCTTTGAAAACAAAATTGCTGCCGCTGTAGTTGCGAATGATTTAAAACCTGCCAAGTTTTTAGTGTATTTTATCAATTTGTTCTCTAAGAAGTAGTTTCTGGTTGAAAGCTCCAAAATTTAGGTGAGAGGAGAATGCTCATTCAGTTTTCAATAAGTTTGTCCGAATTATTCATCTCAGACCGCGGAACCCTTCCTTCTCCTCTTCTCCCTTTCTCCCCCCTTTCTCTCCCCTTCTTCTCCCTTCTCCCCCTTCTTCTCCCTTCTCCCCCTTTCTCAACCCCTTCTCGCCCTCCCCCATCTATACTCGTAAAGAATGTGAATGAAGATAGTTGAAATTTGTAACAAGAAAATCCATGAATTCCAATCTAAACCCTCAAAGGCGATTTTGCGTTTATTGTCCCTTTGGTCATATGAAAAAATTGTCCTGTTTTCAGGTGGGGACAGTTAAGTGGAATGGTCGAACCCTTCTTCGGCCTGTTAGGTGTAATTGCCGTTGCTCTTGTGGAGCCCTTATTACCGTATGCCTTATCCTTCGCCGCAGGTGCTATGATATATGTTGTCGTCGATGATATCATACCGGAGGCCAATTCCAGGTACGTACCAAACATCCTATATCATCAATTCTCAAAGACCAACGGTTACATCTTTGTGTAATTTGACGGGTTTTTTATATATAAAAATGAGACTTTAAAGTGATACAATGAATCATACGCAGTGTGACCTTCAGCAAATGTCTCCTCATTAAAATTTCACGCGTAAGAATGCTACACGCTAAACCATTTAAAACTTTCAAAATCGACCGGTGAGTGAGAAATTAGTGTGTACAATTCGGGTTTCAAAGTTTCAATTACGTCAATTCGGTTCTTGAGAAGTCATGTTGAATTCTACAAAACGTCTCTTCCTACCCGGCTCTAAAGTTACCGCGCATTGGCGGATCCAGCAAATTGGCAACATCGTTTTTTCGCAATTTAAATCCATGGAAATGCATCGATTTTTGGAAAGGCCTGGTGCTCCGATCGGAATGGATTATTTAACTTAGGTTTAAATTGAGGAAATCCGATGTTGCCAAATTGCTGGATCTGCTTCTGTTACCATCCGAACCGCCCAAAAAGGAGGAGAAAATAAGCCTACCATGGAGTTACAAGCAAGCCATATAACGTACAGTTCTCCTTCATTTAGGTAATTAGTCAATGAGCACATTCTACACGTCAAAATTGTCGCATTTCAATTAGAATAGTAATCATGTTTTGTCTTCTAGCATGTTTAAAATCTGACTCTACCATGACTAAAACACATTAATAAAGGCTCCAATTGCGGTAGGACGTTCGTTTTTGAATTTACTAACCTCCATCCGTAAGAAGAATAAATTTAAAAATGTTCATTTGGTTAAAAGAAATTCAATTCTGGCTTTAAGTCATTTCCCATGTATGAGGCAAACTAGGGAGAGGACTCTACTGTTCGTAGCTTAGCCTTTTCCCAATTGTTTTAAATTTTTTTTTTTTTGTGACTCTAATTGGGCAAGACAAGACCCATCTTATGCCATGTTTAAATTAAATCGCCTAAAAGATTATTCTTCCTTAAGGTAAGAGAGTGCGTCGGAACAACAACTGAAGAGTAAATGCAACAATTTCTCGCTATTTTCAATTAACTTTGATTCCAAAGTAGAGAGTAAAGAGTGAAAAAAAATTGAAAACCAATTTTACCCAGACTATCTTAATTTTGGAAACTGCGTTACAAATGACTTCAGACCACAGGCTGGTCACTCAAAAGAAAAAAAATTCCATTTTGAGTCAATTTTTGATCCAGTTCCCATCTCGAAGATAGTGTAAGCCTTACTAAGAGTACCCAAATTAGTAGTTAGTAGTAGCAAGCACGTAACTCAGCAGCCTATTCATGGAAAAAGGTGCCTTTCACTTAACACGATGGTCGCAGTTACAACAAATAATGAACAAACGTTCGCAGTTACAAGCCTACCGCAACGTTAGATACTCATTAACCTTGTTTGATTCTGAAGGAGTGTCCGTGGGTGTGCGTAGAGAAGAGAAGAGGATTAAGTTTCATTGTGCATTGTACTATTGTGTATGGAAATGCTTCGCAGCCAACCGAAAATTTTTCATTTAGCCGCAACGTTCGGACGTTTGGCATTTCGCCGACTTCAGTGGGACCTGGCATGAGGAATTAAGATGCTAAAATCTGCGTGGTACCAAAACTTGAAAAATTAATTCCAGCATCAGCCTATAGAACAGTTACAAAGCTCGTTGCAACTCATATTGGGTCAGTGGCAAGGAATTTTTGCGGAGTTCTTGTATAGTTTTTTGCACGCAATATGAAATGCAAAAACCATGAAGTTCAAAAAATTATTTCTTAGGTGAGTTAAAGCTAGTCGAAATTTGACCAATCCAACGTTGACAGTCAAGTGGACGTAGCAAGGCGAAGCTGCCTTTCGCCTGGAGCTGAGTTAAGCCAATCGTGAAACGCCATTTCTCCCGCCTCGATACGCCAGTGCCTGCCAAAAATAAGTAAATAAAAAAAACGGGTCCCATTTTTGCATTTTCAAAACCAAGTAATTTTGTCACTCGGGCTTTAAAAGAATCCGAAAAAATGTCTAAAAGTTCAGTCCACTTCATACTTTCAAAACATGTATTAAAAAAAAAAAAAAAAAAAAAAAAAAAAAAAAAAAAAAAAAAAAAAAAAAAAAAAAAAAATGGGTGTCTCTGACCCATTATTCTGAGATAGCTCATACGAGTAAAAGTAAAAATCTTTATACTTTAAGGCTAATTTTGAGACCATTATAAGAGCAGACCTTTTACTTTAATTCATATTTTATTCACTTAAGTTGATTGTGAGCTCAAAAATCTTGAAACGTCCTCACGGCTAAAAACATGAGTTCATTAGCGGATTTCAGCAACATTGTCTTTTCTCCGTTTAAACCTATGGAAATGTTTCGATATTTGGAAGGGGCAGGTGCTGCGACAAGAATCGATTATTTAGCATAGGTTTAAATGGAAGCAATCCGATGTTGCCAAATTGCTGAATCTGCCTATGGATGAGTTACTTAACGAGAGTTGAACAGCTATTAGGTATAAGGTCCTGAGGGCATTGGTCGGTCGTCAGCGAGCCCGGAACAGTTAATACTCGTAAGTCAATAAATCTCGAAAGTGTGAGAGTGAAAAGTGTTAAAAAAAGGAGGGGGAGATTATGAATTAATTCCACTCTTGGGGATGAGGGTAGGTCTTTAAATTTAGTTACGGGCCCGAAAATAACCATGAGTAACTTTAAGTTGACTCTCGGAAGATAGATAAGCTGTGAATGGACAAATGATGGTGGGTTTTACAGCCGATTAAGTCACCGCAGGGATAATGTTCGATGCTGATGGCAAGGGAAGGAAGTAAGGGAGGGAGGGGGAGAGGAGGGAATCGGAGGATTAGGAGTCGTGTTGTAGTTTTACATTTCCACGCTTACGCTCACGGGTAAAAAAATCGGTCTTGTCCGACTTACAGAACCTTTATGTTTTTGCTTTTCGGTGTTTTAGTGCGTATTTCATACTTCTGAAAATATGTTTCACTGAAAACAAATTTTCTTGATATATTATTTTGACTCAAAGCGTCGTTTGTCATCGACAAAATTTGGTTTTTTTAAGTCAAATCCGTGCGGATCTAACTTAAAGCCAGTTTTTTCTCAGTTAAAGAAACGCTGTTTTGATGTCGTTTTTTACCTTAAACTCAACGATAGCAAAACGACGCTTTTTTAACTGTAAGACTGACTTTAAGCCACTCAAAAAACCAAAATTTGTCGACGAGAAACGAAGCTTTAAGACAAAATAATATATCTGGAAAAAAATTTTCCAGTCTTCATATTTTTCATAACTTTTTGAAATTTCATGGTAATACCACGAAAATTTCCTATGTTTCATAATTTTCATTTCACTTGTGCAATCCTGGTTCTACGTCAAGTTTTGGTCAAGAAACACGTTTGAGAATGCTGAAACTCGTACGTTGTCGTTGTTGTCATTGAAGCTGGCGACCAGTGGCGTGGCGTGAATCGCGATAAATCGATTGTTATGCCGTTTCAACTCATGGAAAAGGATCAATAAACAGGATGTTTGCAGCGGTCACCTAAATAATCGATTCTTTACCATAGGTTTAAATAGCATCAGAATCGATTTATCGCAATCGACACCAGGCCAGGCTCGGCTCTGTCGGGACGACTGGACAGAGGAAGAGCTGGAGCTCGGGTGGGTGGCGGAAACGGAAGCGGGCCACTGTGCGGAGGTGTCGTCGTCGTCGTCGTCGGAAACACGCGATTTGAAAGTGGTAAAAAATTAATGGGTTTCGGTCCTCAATTGTGTCATTAGCCGGGATAGAAGGGTCCATCATGGGGCTGCGGAGTGGGCTGCGGTGTCTGCATGTCGGGCATCTCCCCGTTGCCCGTGCATAGGTGCATGTGTGCCACCACCGACTCGGATGCTGGCTCCAGTGCTTGCTGCCTCAGCCTCACCATCTTCGAAAAAAAGGATCCCGGTTTTCATTTCCGTTCTTCCCGACGCAACATCCACCCTTTACCGTTCGCTCTATACCTAACGCAAGGGTTACATATCGTCCAGGAGGTCTGGACACCCCCCCCCCCTTCCTTAAGCCTCTTTAATGGAGATGTTGCATGTGTGAGGAATTTGCGATTTAACTCCGGAATACTACGTTAAAATTCGCGAGAAACACGATGGTGCCACTGATTTTCTCTGAAATCAACTCCCAAGCTCAGAAAAAGCTCTCAAGTTGAGGCTAAACTGGAGGGGATATCCTACGCTATCCTGAGAGTCCACCTCTACATCAAGACAAAGTCTCCATGCGAAGATAGGGAGCAAGTACACTGACAGGGCTCTCACATTATTTGGGGGCTCCAAAACTGAAAACACGGCAACCCTGCTGATGTTCTTTCCCTATCTTTGCATGGAGAATTTGTCTTGATGTAGAGGTGGACTCTCAGGATAGCGTGGGGTATCCCCTCCATTTTGGCCTCAACTTGAGAGCTTTTTTTTGAGCTTGGGAGTTGATTTCAGAAAAAACCAGTGGCACCATTGTGTTTCTCCCGAACTTTTACATAAAAATCAGCACTCAAATCGCAAATTCCTCACACATGCAACATCTCCATTGAACTTAAATATTAACCAAAATCATAGGATTGTTTATCTTGGAGCTGAAGAACGTCATATCCCCCCAAGCTTTCAGAGTCAAACTTGCGCCATTTCCAGACTTTCTTACTTTATGCAGTAGCACCAATAGCTCAAATTAGAATTTGCGGAAGATAAGGTTCCTTGGCACCGCGGATGCGGTCATATTTATTTTGCCCTTTCACGGATTCCTGATAAGGAAAAGAACCCGAGTAGAGGCTGGAGTGAAAGGGGAGGGATGAATATGTCCTGTGCAGTGAGTGAGTCATCGTCATTTATTCAATTGGCACGTGTGCAACTGCATGTGCATGGAGTGACGTCCGGTGAATACAGGCAGAATGTTGCACGAGTCAGCGCCGGATCCAAGTCTCAAGCGCCCCAGGCTCAACTTTGGTCGCCGCCCTAAAAGTAGGCGCTCTCATGACT